CTCTCAGCAGGGACTCCAGCTTCTTACATGAGGTCATGTAGCAGATCCAGGGAGCAAGAGAAGCCTCAGGGCTCCTTATGACCCAGCATGCATCAAAAGTCATGTGTTTGTCACCATGTTGAAGAAATCCCAAGCCCTCCCAGATGCAAGCAAAGGGAAAATCAACCCTGTTTCTCTTTGGAACGACTGTAGTTTAAGACCACCCCAGAGCCCAAGAGCTGCATTTTGAGAAACGGTGCTGTAGAGAAAAGTCTCTGTTTGTCTTTAAAATTGTTTTCTTTCCCCAGAGAGGTCATTCCTGATTCTTCTCGCCTGATGTAGGATTTATCTTATACATTACGACTTTAAATAGTGATTTACAGTTAAACTGAGCTGAATACCATTTAAAAACCCTCCCACCAATTTCTCTTAGCAACTGATTTGTTTCAGAATCCCTGAAACAGAAAAATCAAAGCAGTTTTATTTGGTTTTAACTCACACTCATACTATTACTAGTAGATAGGTTACTATTTCCAGCCCTGATATACTGAAGCCTGAAGGGGTTCTGCCTTGTGGGGGTTTTTTGGTCCAACCTTAAATGAGATTATGAACATGAATTAAAAAAAATTTTGTTTAACATTTATTTATTTTTGAGAGACAGAGACAGATCATGAGCAGGGGAGGGACAGAATCTGAAGCAGGCTCCAGGCTCTGAGCTGTCAGCACAGAACCAGACGTGGGGCTCAAAACCAAGGACTGGGAGATCATGACCTGAGCCGAAGTCGGACCTTCAACCGACTGAGGCACCCAGGCGCCCCTGAACATGAATTTAAAATCCACAGATTTTGAAACATGGATTTTGTAACCTGGACCAGAAAGGGACTGGAGCTTACAGTGCATGTCCTTGAATTTATAAAGTTTTTATCATTTTGCTGATTGCAGAAGTAATACTGGTGCATCATTGGAAAAAAAATTTAATTACAAAAATTAATCTTGGTAATCACAAGTTCCTTTGGCTGGTTATATATTCATCAGTTAAATTATTCCTTGAGCAAGTATTTCTTTTTTAAATGTTTTTATTCTTTATCTTTGAGAGAGAGACAGGGCATAAGCAGGGGAGGGGCAGAGGGAGAGGGAGACACAGAATCAGAAATAGGCTCCAGGCTCTGAGCTGTCAGCATAGAGCCCAAAGTGGGGCTCGAACTCACAAGCTGTGAGATCATGACCTGAGCCAAAGACAGACACTTAACCCGCCAAAGCACCCAGGAGCCCCTGAGCAAATATTTCTTGAAGCTACTATGTATAAGAAAAATGTCAAAGGTCTAAGAATGAGGTCTACAAGATGGCCCCCAAGGTGCCCTTGCCCTTGTGGAGACAGAGAGGAGTAATTGGATGAGGTAAGATGTAAAGCCAAGTGGCAGAGCTGGGACCAACCCTACCCCATGGATCCCACCCATGTTGTAGAGAGGAAGTTCTGTCCTCTAGGAGGGCTTCCAGGGGTCTTTGGTCTTGGATGCAGAGAGGTGTAGGGAGGAGGAATTCAAGGTCGGGGTGCATCTTGCTTTCATCAGACAATACTTCCCAAAGATAACTTTGTGGAAAAATTAAGGATGTTTAAGCAGGACAAAAGTGCCATCCAGTGGGATTCTACTGCTCCAAAAGCAGAACTCCGCAAGTGTGAAACTGCTGGATGGTGTCACCCTGGAGAGCGACCCTTCCTAGCCACAGCCCTGTCTTCTTCAACATCAGTGATTTAGGTCAAGACATAGTAAGCTTAAGTAACAAGTTCATAGAGTAGGGTTGAAGACAGAGTTTTAAAATAGCTCAAACTATTAGAACCACGGGGGTGAAATAAAAACATGAAAGCACTGGATTCTCATTCTTCTCTGGCTTGTCCTAGTTAATTTGAGGATTATGAGGTTGCTCTAAAATTTAGGATATTGACCATGGAATAAAACTCAGTATCTGTTTCATGAATGTGCGATGTGTCAGATGACTTGACATCCCCCCTGATTTCTATTTTAAGACCCAACTTCCTACGGTTGTTGAATAGCATGTCTTCTGAAATATAATGTTAATATAATGTATAATATTAGTGAAACTCATTCCAAATATAAGGATACAGTGCACATATCCTGCGGAATGAAATAGCTCCAGATAGTTCAATGGATCGAGGCACACCATTTCTAAGCTATGTGTTCAGGTCCAGGTAAAGTAGGAATCAGATATTTCTCCAAATGTAATCCTCCTGGCAGCCAAAGAATGTGCTAGAAACTATGGAGATTGCTCCTTATTTTCAGAATATATTATATATATTCTCCTTCTTGGAATCTTATATACTAGAAAAGGAAGCGATAGTCTTCATTAATAAGAAGTATCCTTTCTTATAGAAACTAACTTTATTTTTAAAATATATGCTTATTGTAAAGAATTTGGAAAACACAGAAAATAAAAGCAACCATAATCCCTTCCTACTACCCCCTTCCTCACAAAATAATCACTAACAACATTTTGATGGTTTTCCTTCCTGTCTTTGTTCTGTTTGTTTATATCATTTGACCCAGTTCATATTGTGGAGAGAGAATTCCTCTCCTTAGGGTTATACTGTCAATGGATCCAGCTAATTACCAAGAAAGCAATCACACTTTACATCTGTATAACTGTTTTCTTTCACCGAAGCACATTGACATCCATCATCACAGTTGGTGCTTTCTTCAGATAGAACAAACTATTTTCCAGGAAACCAAGGTCAGAGAGGAGAGAGGGGGTCTTGCCTCCCCTACATGGCTGGAAAAGGTCAGAGCCAGAATTGGAGGGCTCCAGATTTCTTATCTAGAGATTTTCCCCTGCAGTAATTTATGTTGTCTCTCCCAATTAAAGTCTATGTATCTCTGTACAGAAATTCCGTTTGAGAGCTAGGACTTCTACTTCCTGTGGTTTATTTTTGTGCCATAGAACACGTTTGTACTTAATGTGTCTTCTAGGCTGTCAGCCTGGGAGATTGGCCACCATCACACGCCTGGCAGTAGTTAGCCCACCATGCACGGTTTCCTCTGTTGTCTGAGCAGCCGGGCTGGGTCCTTCACAGCAAGCATCCGGGGCACAGAACTGCCTCTCTGGTTCTGTTGCCAAAAGAAGAAACTTGCCTCTTGTGTCTCCCCAAGTACCTGCCTGAGCCACCATGTCTGTATTCGTAGCTGCGCCCATGACTAGTCAGCCCTTGCTGGAAGTATGGCCATTTCAACCGAGAGCTTTCTATGTAAGTGGTACCTTGACCATCTGGCTGTTGCCTTCCTGCCTGGCTCTTGCCAGATTTCTTTACCACAAAAAGCAGTTCCATATTTGCTAAGGCTTTTCATTTCTGCTTTTTCAATTTCCTTTTTTTTAAATTTCTGGGTTTTAACCTCTTTACCTATGTCATCTTTTCTTCCCCTAATTCGAACATTTAATGTAAGTCTGTAAGAATAGGTAGACTTAACAATTAGATGAAATCTACAATTTCATGGAAGAGATGTTGAGATTTGGGGCTTAACATCCCAAATGAAATAGGGGGCTAAAAAAAAAAAAAAGAGGCAGAGAAGGGGGAAAGGAGAAGATATAAAGAGAAATCAGATGGGAGGGAGACTCAGGAATTTCCGAAAAGGACATTTCAGTAAAAAAAAAAAAAGAAATAAAATGTTTCTGTGACATTGACTCTTCATATGAATTATAAGTATTTTGGAAATTATCATATTACTGACTTTTGACATGTATTTCTCTAGCAATATGAAGCTAACATTTCTTCAGCAGGAAATGCTTGTTAGTTTTATTTTTAAATATCAAAGACTATTTTTAAAATAAAACATTTATTTTCACTTAGAATTCTTACAGTTTTTCCCTGGGAAAGTTGTGGTCAATCTATTCCTCGGACAAACAAGGCCAACCAACTGTGTTGGTCATTCTTTACTCACTGCAAGCCCCCTGACCATTCTGTTTGGAGCTACTTAGGTGAAGGTTTTAATACCATTTGTTTCTGGATTTTGTTTTGTCTTCTCTTCCATCCAGTGGAAACCAGTTAGAAGAACTGCAAAGCTAATTGCTGGGATGAGTGGGGTTGTGAGCAAACAAGTGTAGGTGACCCAAAGAGTTGCCCTTTTGTCAGGGCTCTCAACTTATCACTCAGCATCATATCTAGCAGCTCTGCACAGGTCTGTCCTTGAACTTTTAACCAGAACCCCTAGCTCTGCGAACCCCACTGGGACTGCTCTTTGGAAAAGCATGATCAAGGCCACATTTGGGTGCCAGTGGAGAGCCAGCTCCAGTCACCCATCCTACCCCATCACAGACACTGGTTACCTCACCACAGCCAGGGTTTTAGCTTAATTGTCAAAGAACAAAACCGTTCTTTCTGCCACAGAGTAGCTGGAAAAAAAAATTTTTTTTAAGTTTACTTATTTATTTTGAGAGAGAGAGAGCACAAGCAGAGGAGGGACAGAGAGAGGGAGAGAGAAGAGAGAATCCTAAGCAGGCTCTGCACTGTCAGTGCGTAGCCCTATGTGGAGCTTGAACCCATGAACTATGAGATCACGACCTGAGCCGAAACCAAGAGTCAGACGTTTAACTGACTGAGCCACCCAGGCACCCTGAATAGCTGAATTTTTTGAATGAACTCAATAGTGTTTTGTTCAATTTGATCAGAAACAAAATTGAGTAGTTTCTGCATTAAATTTTCCAATTAGGCTTCTGTTATGATCCCTGGATACCTCATCTCATAATGGTGAAAAACAAAAACAAAGAACAGAAAAATAAAAAAAATCACCTTATTTTTTGGTGCCAACTAGTTTCAACATAATTGTATCAGTCCCCACTCATCTTATTTCCTTTACTTAGTTGGCTTGAATGTGTTCTTTGATTTCAAACCTATTTTCCCAGTAGAAATATCACTTCTTGTGTATGTGAGGAAGACATAAGTTCTTTGGGTTCCAAAGAAACTGTTCATAAAAGCCCTGCTTATTCACAAAATGAAATCAGTGATGTCCTACCTGAGCTCATTTTCAACTCTGAATCCTTTCTTTCGTGCCAGCTCCATGAGGAAGGCTCTGCGGGTGCTTCCCATTTTCTTCTCCAAAATATAGAGAACCAAATCCTGAAACTTGATGTCATGTGGAGGAAAGGGCATTGAGGCACCCATCTGCCTGGGCCTCTTCTTCCGAGGGCCTGAGTGGGCCATTTGCAAAGGATCCATGGGAAGAGGCTTCTGATGCTTCTGCCTGTGCCATCAATCGGTGTCTCCAGAAGTGAGGGAGAGCCTGCCCTCCTTCATGAAGAGCTCTGATGTCATCTTACTGGCAGACTCTGATGTCAGGGAAGGGTTTCCTGGGCCCTGCCCTGGTGATGGCCTCCTGCTGAAGAGCAATGGAGAATTTTTATCTCTATTCAGCTCATTTGTTCCATGTGGAGATCAAAATGGAAACAGTAAATTATCTTTGCTTTCCTATGTATAATCTTACCAGATCGTCAGAATAACCCTGTGAAGAAGGTAGAGAAGCATCACTATTCTCATGTTAGCATCTATCTATCTATCTATTGTTAATTTATTCACTCAGGCCCCTCTTGCTTTTATTTTTTATCCCTTTTTAACCTTTCAACTTGATTGTGTTCTCTTCCTCTCTCAGGCAATCATTATAATACATTGGATTTCTATAGGTTGTGTGGGTGTTATACGTTGTGTGCAGTTGTTTTGATTTTACATAAATGGCACTGCTAAATTTCTCATTCTGCTGATCACTTTTTCATTCAAAACTGTGTTTTCAGATTTCTCCATGTTGCTCTATGTGCTAATCTGTTCACGATGGACATTTTAGCTATGTTGGTGCATTTCATAAGTGAGGAAACCAAGGTTCAGAAAATTTACTCAACATCACAGAGTAAGGGGCAAAACCAGGTCTTGAACTCAGGTCTTCAGACTCCAAATGTTATATATCTCAGCTTTTTTGATGAATTAAGTTTGCCTGGAGAATAGTCAATTATGTAACTCTAAACTTGATCTTTTGGGATGGAATGGGATGATCTTTAGATGGGAATTACTGCCATAAAAAGATATTTTCATAACTTTATATGCAAAATAAAAATTAGTATCTCTCATCAACATACTTTATAATTCTCATTTCTTGACCATCTACCAAGTGGTTAAGGCAAGCACCTATAAGCCTTAGCTGACCAATCTTCGTAATACCACTGTCTGGTAGGTGCTAGCATCTTCTCTGAGGTAAACAACTTGCTGAAGATCGCAAAGCTAATAAATGGTTATAGGTAGGAAATGATCAAGGTAGGACTTGAACTCAAATCTGTCTGCTTGGCACAGAGGAAGCACTTCAAATAAATGTCATTTGGTAGTAATATGATGTTTTGTTTTTAGAGAAGAGCCAGTTTGATCTGAAATCAGATCTATATGTTTTAGAAAACTGTTAAATCAACAAAATATGATGTTAACCAATGTCTTATTTAATCTGCTTTGAATCACTGGTATTGCAAAGATTGCCAGCAAAAATTTAAAATGTGGTGATGGCTGTCTGGTTATCAGGCTATTGTCTATCAGCCCCAAGTCTACCTTTCTGTGATGGGCTCTATGAGGTTGGGGCTGGGACTGTGTAAATACCATTTCTCAAGGTCAGCTGGCTCCCTGCTCGGCTCTACCAGTAGGGAGCACTACAGGGACCAAGTCCAAGGCTGGACCCTAACTGATACACTGTCCAATTAAATGAGGCATAGGAAATGAGGACCCACCTACACTGTGGGAGGTATACTCCTTCTGAAAGGAGCTCTAACAACAACAAAAAAATCTTTTAAGGCATCCAAATCCCCTGAACCAGCATTTCCATTTTTTAAGAAAGACACATAAATATGAATGAACGAAGATGTTCATCACAACATTGCAGAGAAGACTTAAAAAAATCATAAATGCCCAATTACAGCAGGAGGTGATAAAGTATGACAGGACATTTTGCAGCCACTAAAACCAAGTCTTAAGGAAATACCGTAAAACATGGGCAAACATTCACAATCTAATAATTGTAAAATCAGTGTACAAAACGTAGTTACAGTATGACATCAATTTTGACAGAGAAGACTAGAAAAATATGTGGCAAACCTAATATAATAGTAAATATCGCTGGTTGTAGGGTTTATGCATGATTTCTATTTTTGTCTTTGTGCTTTTCTGTATTTTACAAATTCTCTATAATAAACATGAATCAGGTTTGCTACCACAAACACAGACAACTTACAAAAATTACCTTGAGTTGACACCATGTGGCCTTAGTGAAAGCTATGATTCAAAGGTAGGAGGTTACTCAGAGTAAGCTAAATAGCAGTGGATTGTGTTTTCTGATCCTTACATGCAGGGCTGAGGGATAAACACTTTTATATTTTGTGTAAAATCCTATCTCACTACCAGGCAAGTCTCTGCTAGGGAATGGACGGGGCTGTGTAATTCTGCTTGGTTTAGATAATTTACTGAAGCTGATTCTAGGGAGGGAATCTGTGGCTTCTATATCCTTTTTCCTGCCTCTGAGGGTCCTTTCTGGTGGTGTCATGTACCCTGTGCTAGGGTGACAGCTATGAGAGCTGAGGCCATTGTCATGGCTTGGGGAAGGGAGGTGTGAACCCCTTAGCCTCACCTTAAAACAGGTCTGAGTATACCAAAGTCTCATTGTCATTTCAGGAATTAAATTAAATCATGCTCATGAAAGTGCCTGGAAAATCATGAACCACTGTACAAAGGTCAATTGTTATTGTTATTCTCACTGGCATTGCTGCTAATGGCAGGAATTAATGAAATTTCTTCTTGCTGAACCATCATTTTCTGGAGTTACTTGCACCAGGTGTTGAGCACATGTTGGTCCATTATATGGGTCAATCAGCTCCAAATCTCAGTGGCTTAACACAACAAAAGTTTATTTTCTCCCATGATACTTTTTGGTAGAGGGCTCTCCTTCACTCAAGACTCAGACTGATGGAAACTTCACATTTTTGTACCTGGACCACCTGGACTACGAGGTTGCCTTGGTGACCGTGGCAGAGAAGAGGGCACTGGGGGTCATGGATTAGCAATTAAATGCTCTGTCTCAAAAATGATACACATGACTGCTGGTCATAGCCCTGGTCAGAACTAGTCACATGGCCCCACCTAAGTGCATCAGGGCTTGGAAATGCAGGGGAGCACAGGGGAATTGAGGGGAGCTTTCCTTTCCTGCTATGCCCAGGATCAAGCTGTTGATTAATTTTGGAGACTCCCTGTCAATGGGATGTTACTGCCTCTGCACTAAAGCCACGGAAGAGTTTATGGAGGACCAGAGCCCTGCCCTTCCTACACGAGAAGCTCAAGAGAAGAACTATACTGTACAGTGGTAAGGCCATTCTAGGGCCTTCCTTGAATTCCAAGCTGTTGGTGTGGTCCTGGGGATGAGAAGATCTGATCTCTCTAAAACACCTCCATACCAGTTGTTCCTCCTTTCAACTGGCATATAGGGGGGAAAGTCCTGTATAAAGCGTCAAAGGCTGTCCTAAATTTGGGTCAGGTGCCTCCCTGCTTGCACAGTCTTCTGGGTCTCTTTTCCCATAAGAGCACGTGTCATTCTGTATTGTACTGCTCTAATCCCCTGTGTGTACCTCCCACCAGACTGTAAGTTCAGCGGGGGCAGGAGTCATGTAGGTTGCATTCAGGTCTGAGCCCCCAGCACCTAACACAACACCTTGTTCAGCAGGTACCAGTTACTGTAGAATAAGCTAGAAACCAAATGTAAGTTGATGTGGTTATTAGTATTATTAAGCTTCTGTGTTGTTTGGGTAACTATGATGTAAATCTTCTGCCATGACTGCCCTTCTCTACCCTAGAAGTTCCCAACTAAATGACTCTCCAAAATGAGCAACTACAATATAGTTGTTAGGGAACCAGACTACCTGAGTTCAACACCCAGATATTTATGAGCTGTGTGACTTTGGACAAGTTACCAAACCTCTCTGTCCCTCATTCCCTCATCTGTGCAATGGGGATTATAATGATTTTTATTTTACTGGTGGTTATGAGGACTAAATAAGCACTTCAAAGGGTATTGGCATGCAACAAGTCCTCAGAAGTGTCACTGTGATCACAACAGCTCAGCCTTCTTGTTCCCCTTCCCTCCGCTGTCCTTCCCTGTCCTTTTCCTGGGTCCCCACACACTTGAGAGGTATCCTCTCAGTACTTCCCACTGCCCTTTTGATTTTCCTTGACTCTTCCAAAAGTGGTGTCGGGCCCACTCAAGAACAGACTCAGGATCTCAAAGAGACCAAAGGAATGCCCTGCAATGATTCCCAACATGGGTTCCCAGGAACACTAGTCTCCTGAATGTTCTAGGCAAAACAAAAAGTTCTGTAGTGAATTAGGGGTGCCTGGGTGGCTCGGTCGGTTGAGTGCCCAACTTCGGCTCGGGTCACGATCTCACAGTTCATGAGTTTGAGCCCCGCATTGAGCTGGCTGCTGTCACGTGGTCAGGGCTCTGCTGCTGCCAGATTGTCAGCACAGAGCCTGCTTCCGATCTCTGTTCCCCTCCCTCTGTCCCTCTCCCACTTGCACTCTCCCAAAAATAAGTAAATATTAAGAAAAAGTTCCGTAGTGAATGAAGTTTAGGAAAGCCAGACAAACTGTATACAATTTGTTTAGAACATTAAGGTTTTCGAGAAGACTTGCTGTCAAGAAGCCTCTTAAATTTTGTTTAGCCCAATGTATTCCCAGTTTGCTTGTATTTTTGTTTGTTTGCTCTCCAGAACACCTGTGGCACCTTGTCGAGTACAAGTGTTGATGGCTACATTCGCACTAAGCCTGGGGGCCTGGAGTTAGGCCTGGTAACCACCTGCCACTCAGCAGGTATGTGACCTTGGGTAAGTCACTCAACCCATGAGATTAATTGTGAAATGGCAATTGTGGTGCCAACTTCATCACATTGTAAGGAAGGAACAAGAGAACATAAACATACATCTGGCCCAGAGGGGTGCTTGGCCCTGTTCTACCTTCACCTTCACCTTGCCACTCCCAGGTGCTGGAGGATACACCTGGGGCTCTGGGCTTGAGTAGTTAGTTAGTGCCAGCCGGCCTGAAGGAACACATCTAGTCATTGACTGCCACTGTTACACTCCCATGCAATGGCTGCCCTTCCTAGCTTAATGTTGATTTGTTCTTCCATTATGGGCGATACTTGGTATCCT